TAATTCAATCTTTGCACTTTGTGGATGGTGAAACCCAGCCATAGAAAATTTATATAAGTTGTCACACAGCTATTTAGTGTCAAGGTTAGTACCAATTTCCTGAATTGTTTCCCATCCTAATGAATTTTTACCTGTCTTGGGTATGATTGATATATTTTCAAGTAACAGAATCCTTGTCAAAGAAAGTGAGGAAAATCTTACCCAGTTCAAGTACCAGCAGGATCTGGAGTCTGTGCAAGGTATTCCCTCTTCTGCCCACCCTCATCTACATTTTCTCTGACTGTCAGCTCCTTTTCTGTCAACAGTTTCCATGAAAGGCTCATAGTTTCTAAACCCTGAGTAAACGCGGTTGAGCAAGGCAAAAGACCCCCAGCCTGTCACATACAGATATTCAAGAGAGAGAGAAGTCAGGAATAGTTGAAGTTCAATGTCAGGAATTCTTGGCCTAAGTAAGACTTGACTCAGTTTTTCAGGAATTAGACCCCCATGTAGTCATCCTGCTGTAGCTTAAGCTCTCTCAAGCCCTAAAAGGTGCCGAGCGGGACTGAACACTTTCGCCTGTTCCAAGGGACAGTCTGCCACCAGCTGATGCAGATAACCCAGAAACAGCAGCCTTCACCCCTTTTACATAGGCTTGCCTTTGAATGCATTTTAAAAAGTATCATCCTACCAGAGTAGCAGATGTTTTAAACATTTTAGATAACCCCAACCTCAGCATGTTCAAACTGTAGTTAACAGCACAAAGGAGCATTTCTCATTTGGTTTGGTTTAGGCAATGTCCTTTTTGCCAACTTCACTGGATATCCAAAAATAGCTAATTTCTGAAATTAAGTGTTTTTATTTCTAAATTAAGAGCAGTATGATGGCCAGTGACAGATGGTACCAGGAGCCAAATTTGGCAACATTGAACAGGTGTTCACCTCAGGTCAAACCATTGCAGGCAGACGATGGAAGAGGGAGCTAAATCACATATTTGGCTCTATCCCGTCAGGGATGTGGGGAAGTAATCAACTCTAGCCAAAAATAGTATGTGATTACACGCTATTGCTTCATTAGAGGTCATCAGCTATTGAAAAATTCGTGTTATATATTGATTATAAAAGGGGTCACAACGTGTTACCAAATATACTCAGAAGAGACACAACTGGCAACTCTAGCATATTAGTTTTGGCTTAGATCTAAAACACTAGGTTTCATAAACATTAAACAATCAAATAGTTATTGTACTTAACCTTTATAGAAGGAATTCTTGAGGATACTTTGACTATCCCACTAAAGCAGGGTTAGCACATTAAAAAACAAACAAACAAACAAAAAGACAAAAAATAATGTGGATCCCCACATCCCTTTTTTCTACTGTGGCAGACATCACTCATAGAACCACTTTTGCAATAACCCTGAACGTGGCCTCACAATCCCCCCCCTAGACAGCCATTCTTTGCCAGTTAATTGGAGTTAGCACTCAAGATGGAAATTTTGGCCATCCCACTGGTAAACTGAACTTAGATGTTCACAGACCTGTTCCTACTTCTCTCCATATCCTAATTCCAATGTTTTACCTGCAAAAAAGTGACACACAACACATTGTGGTAGATGGATAAGTGGCCCAGAAATCTTAAAAACAGTTTTTCATGAGCAAGTAGTTCTCAAGCAAAATGTTAATTGCCAAAATCATACAGAAATAGGCTTAACTTGACGTGTAATTAAAATATATGTTTTTGACTAGTGATTTTTGGATACACCAGTAAATGTTTCCTAAAAAGAAATCGTAGTAAATGTTGGTGAAAGTGAAGGGAAGCAAATACATATCTATCCAGTAAGACTATAAATTACTTATTAGCTTCTCCAAAGGGACAATAGCTTATCAAAAATCATAAAAAATGAATAATTTGACCTGGAAATATATTTCATATATTTCATGAAAAGAGATATTTTTGCAGAGATTTTGCTAAAAGGATATTTATCGCATATAATATTGAAATATTAAAAATTGTAAAGTTTAAAATTATTTCAATTAACAAATTTAAAATTAACAACTGTTATATGACCAACAATCAGGGATTAGCTAAATAACATTTATGGCCTCTCTATATAATAGTATTTATATTATATATTTGTATATTTAACAGTATATGGCTACTTAAATTATATAAAATTGTCAGCATAGACAAATGTTTATTATGTAGTGATAAGAAATGAAAAGAGGTTGCAAAGTAGCATTTATGCTGTGGTTTATTTTGTCAGGGTATGTATGCGTGTGCAAAAGCCCTAGTAAAAAAAAGTCTCAATACCCCAACAAGTTAATATTAACTATTTCTTGACAGAACGATGGGACTTTTTTCCTTTGCCTACACCTTTTTCTCTGTAATGATCATGAATTGCTTTAGGATAAAAAGTAATTTTTTAGTATTTAGACACTTGCTTTCTAGAGAAGTTTATTTTTTATCAAAATTTTTTTTTAGTTTTTATTTGTTTAAAAAGTAATACAGAATTCTGAAAGAGATTTAAAAAGCAGCAAGGATACTCCCACCTACAGAATGCCACTCTTAACATTTTGGAATATTTACATTCCTTTATTTACAAACAGATTATTTTGTTGTTTATTGAGGCATATTTTGCATACAGTACAATTCATCATTTTAAGGTGATGGGTATATGATATATACCAACCACTATAATCAAGATACAGAATGTTTCTATCACCCTCAGAAACCCCCTCCTTAGCTTTATAATTAAACCACTCTCCCCAGCTGCTCTCTAGCAATCACTGATCTGATTTCTGTTCCTAGGTTTTCAACTTTTCAGGAATGTTATGTACATGGAATTATGCAGGAAGTAGCTTTTTTAGTCTGGCTTCTTTCATTTAATGTGATGCTTTTGAGATTCATCCATGTTTCCCTTTTTATTGCTGAGTTATATTGTATTTTTTATATATTCTTCTACAGTAAGCAAACATCCAAAATCCATTGATTATTCTTTTTAAGAATATCTGTATGTCCATGTAAATATTAGAAACCCCCTCCCGCTCGTGATCTCAGTGATGAGAATTTGGAGAGTAAGTCTTCAATCTGGCTCTCTCATTCACACATTCTTTGCTGTTGCCCTTTCTCTTTCTCCCTTTTAAAATTCTTCTCTCCTTTCTACTGAAACACTGAAGGGAAAATAATGACAAAAGCCTGATAAGGGTGGTTGTTATACAACAGAAATGAGTCAATTATGCTTTACTTAGGTTCTCAGTGTTAGTTTATTTAATCATAAAATAATACACACTATTCATTACACCAAAAATCAGAAAAGCATTTTTAAAGGACTAGGAAAAATGCCATTATTGTGGCACACCTAAATTTTATATCTGTTTCTATTCTTTGCATGTTGTTTTAAAATTGTACTATATATGCAATAATGTTTAATTTTTTCTAATGGAAGGGCATCCCAAATATTTTCTTGGGGATCTCCTTTCTTTAAGAATAGCTGTGCCGGGTGCAGTGTCTCACACTTGTAATCCCAGCACTTTGGGAGGCTGAGGCAGGTGGATTATTTGAGGTCAGGAGTTTGAGACCAGCCTGGCCATCATGGTGAAACCCCATCTCTACTAAAAATACAAAAAGTAGCCAGGTGTGGTAGCAGGTACTCTAATCCCAGCGACTTTGGAGGCCGAGGCAGGAAAATAACTTCAACCTGGAAGGTGGAGGTTGTGGTGAGCCTAGATCACGCCACTGCACTCCAGCCTGGGCAACACAGTGAAACTCTATCTCAGAAACAAACAAATAAATAAATAAATATTAAAAAAGGAATAGCTGTTGTGCCTAGCTTGCATCTGTCTCATTCATTCTCTCATTTAGCAATGCTCTTGAAAGCCTACTTAGTACAAGATGTACAATGCTGGGGAAGAAAACCACAGTCCCCGCCCTCGGGGGGTGGTGCTGCCTTGATTACTGCAAATGTCAATAAGCAGTAATTGGGAAGTGAAGTATGGGTGTTAAGTAAAGTCACACAAGGAGCAGTGACTGCCTATATTGAATATGACCTTCAGTCATATTTTCCTTTATTATCTCTATGTTTCCTAATTACTTTTCCTCGCTCAGGAAAAACTAATAGAATTAGCAAATCATGATTATTGTCCTTTATATTAGGCAAATCATACTAAGATGACTAAAATGAATAAGCACTTTACCAAAAAAAAAAATCAATTTAAAATGTTAAAATAAAGATAAACTTGGTATATTGTCAAGTTTGTCTGTTCTATCATACTTATCTATTGTGCGGTTGCCAAAGAATAGAGAGGAATCTTTACATTAAATTCGTCTCAAATGACAGGGTCTATTTTCAAAACATTTAACAACAGGGACAGAACAAGTGCTGATCCCTCAGAAGGAGACCCCCATTAGGTATGTGTAAATTCCTCAGTGGCTGTGTCTGGGACATCTGGCTGGTACAACCAGGCAGAGACCAAGATGACTAGTAGACCGGGGGCTCTCAGGAGATTCAGGACAGTGACTATTTACAAACAGTGCCAAAGTATTTCAACATGTTAATGCCCAGCATGACAGGCTCATACCTGGAGGAAATAGGTCACAATACTGCAGGTGATTTTTGCTTTAGAGAAAGACATAGTGGTGACAACAACTCTCCTTTTAAAGGAAGAGCCTTATGTGTGGTAGATCCTCTGTTGATCCAAAAAAGTAAAAAGTTAAAATACACTTAGTTGAAAATCAGAGAGCGAGGAATTCAATGAACAGACAATTGAAATAAAATATTATAGGAATGCTGGTAGAGACAGAGGAAAACAAGGGCAAGAAAAGAGGAGAAAAAAGGCCAGTAGAAAAATCCTTTGACTGGGCTTGATGGAAGTCTGAAATGTCTGCTTATTTTAAAAGAAAAAAAAAAAAAAAAAAAAAAAAAAAGGAAAAAAAGTCATCATAGCCACATTGGCGAAATAGCACTATATGAAATTTTAATGTGCGTGATAATATTTTTAATAGCTTGCTTCCCTCTTTTAGCTTTCCTTATTGGAAAAAGCTGGATTTGGAGGTGTTCTTCTATATATTGATCCTTGTGATTTACCAAAGACTGTGAATCCTAGCCATGATACCTTCATGGTGTCACTGAATCCGGGAGGAGACCCTTCTACGCCTGGTTACCCAAGTGTCGGTAAGTTTGTTGTTCATCATTATTATATTTGTAAGTAAGCATTACAAGGTTGCAATTTAGAATTAAATGCTACCTATCAGGAATAGTGAAGTCAAATAATTCTTATCATCCCATGTTTAAAAAAGCAATTTATTTTTTATCTACTCAAAATTATAGACTACCAATTTGTTGGTATAAATTGGATTTATACTATAATGAAATTTTATCTCAACAAATTGAAGTACGCTGAACAGACAGAAAACATATTTTATGTGTTATTGTTAGTTGACTGATGAGATAAATTAGCAGCAGGAGTGACAGGCACTCCAGGTAGGCCAATCACACTTACAAATACCCAGGAGCGTCAAATGTTTGCTGCTTCGGGGCAGCTGTAACAGCTTTAAGTCCAGGGTCTAGAGGTCTAGAGGTCCGCATGATCAAGTTAGGTAAGTTAAGCAGTAAGAAAAGATTCTAGAGAAGAATGGATTTAATATGATTTTCTGGCTGACTTAAGAGAAGCGACTGCATTGTTTTGGCCAGTCACTGACAGCATAGTGATGGCTACATTGCAGCAAACATGTTTCTCTTTCCTAGATAGCTGTATTCATGACATTCGGGATCACGTGGCAGAGAGAAAACAGCTGTGGTTTTCGCAGATGCTCACTGCATCACTGAATTTCTGTCCAATGTGTCATTGACAGGTATTCTGTTCATTCAACCTGGCTGAGGAAAAAGCTCTTTGCATCTTCTTCCAGGGTGATACTGACCCATTAACCATGACACTTCAGTCAGTAATTAAACTGACCACCCCAAAATTATGTAACTATTTATGTGTTCTGCCAATACTTTTATTTTTCCCCCAAACCATCACAAAAAAATTTACTAGTTATCTTACTCAAATTCAGCTGTCTATTCTCTCCATGTTAACTTTACCAATTAATTAGCAACTTTCCCCAAGAAGGAAGCAAATGGAATCTCATATGAATTATAACTTATGAATTTTATAGAGTCTACTGATTATTGCTTTTTCTTCTACACACTACAAATGTATTCCTTTAATAATCCATGTCAATTTTATCTGGGATCTCACTGCTTTGTACTTTGTACAGTCCCATGTCTTATTATTACAATTTTAAGTTAGAATTAGTAGGCGTATATCTGCAATTTCTAGACATCACCCAAAGCACCAATCCAGCTCTCCCATTGGCAAATACGCTCACTGCCCCAGGTTGTAATTGCTCAGTGTCAGGAAGCTGCGTTTGGCAGCTAACTCGCTGTGACAAGTCAATGGGCTACAGTGCTACCAAAAACAGACTCGGTACCAGTACTGAAACTTAAGTTGGTAAGTTCTTCAGTTGGCACCATGACTTTTAACTGTTTTTTTGCCCCAGGTCATTTCATAAATGCTGAGTTTAGTAATAGCTAGCAGGTGTTGACCAGAGTTGTAAGCAGTTCCAACATGCTTTTTCCTACTTTTTATTCTGAAATAATTTAAACGTATAAAATAGTAGAAAGTTTCGAATATGCAGAATCTCTGAAATCTCTCTCTTTACTCTGCCATTGCCTTGATGAATAGTGTCCAGCTTCTTTTTATCCACACTAATGTTCTTATGAAATAGCTGCACCCCTGCTTTCCTCTCCTAAACATACTCTTTCATTTTTTACATGACCAGGTTGCAATTTTCCAAATTTTTCTGTTCGGCTTCTCTTTTAATTAAAAATTCCATTGAAAAACATTTTTCACTTCTTTCATTTGACTGTAAACCATCAAAAGAAGCCACACAGCAGCTTGAGCACTTTGCTGCTTAGATATGTTTTTCCACCAGATAACTTCATTTATTGTTTTAAAATTCTACCTTCTATAAAGCCGTGGGGCATGGACACAATTCAGTCAAATTCGTTGCCACTTTTTAACACTGATGTCCTTTACTTCAGTTTCCACTACATTGTTCCTCATTTCTGCTTGAGACCTTATCAGAATAGCCTTTACTGTCCATATTTCTGTTAACTTTCTGGTCATGACCATTGAAGTAATCTCTAGGAAGATATAGACTTCCCCACAGCTCTTGTCTGTTTTTTTTTTTTAAAGACCTCACTAGAATTGCTATTAATAATCCTAGATTTGCTTACAACAATTTAGGCTTTGTAGCCCGTTCCATTAAGTTCTTGGATCCTCTACCCATTATCCACTTCTAAAGCGGCTTCCACATTTCCAGGATTTGTTATAGCAAATACCACACGTCTGGTTTCACTAAGTTTTCTTAGTCAATTTTGTGTTGCTGTAATGGAGTACCTGAAACTGAGTAATTTACCAAGGGCAGAGATTTGTTTCTCACAGTTGAGGAGGCTGGTCAGTCCAAGGTCACGGAGCTCACATCTGGCAAGGGTCTTAGTCATTTCATCCAGTAGTGGAAGGCAAAATGGTAAGAGACTGTCCATGAGAGCAAGACAAGGCCAAACTCACTTTTATAACAAGCCCCTCAAAATAACGAGCCTACCCTCATGATAACATTAATCCATGCGTGAGAATACTTCATGATGCAATTGCCTCTTAGAGGTCACACCTTTCAACATTGGGGATCAAGTTTCCAACACATGAGCTGTGGGGTACACATCCAAATCATAGGAAATGATTATTAGACAGACTAATCTAAAACTACCTTTTTTTTTCAATTTAAGAACTTTGTGTTTTTTACCAATTTAAAGGTGATAAGCTGTAAAGAAGAAATTTAGAACAACCAAAAACACAAGGAGATAGTTTTTAACTTTCTTTGTTTGGTTTTTAATATAACAAAGTAAACAGAGTCATATAATGAACATTCCATATACCTCGCCCATCTTTAGCAACTGTCTACATTTCTGCCATTTTTGTTTTTTATCTGCACGTTCCCTCACACCCCACAGCACCCGTATTTTTTCCAGATAAAATGTACATAAATTAAAATTCAGCACACATACATGTAGGAGAAATTCGAGTCACTCAGGTTGTTAGATCTTACATGGCATCTTAAGAAAGAACAATAAATGGGTAGAGAAGTATCAAGACAAAAGGAAAGAGATTTAGCCTTTCAGGGGTATCAAACTGTGAGAAGATAAATATATGCAGGGAAGTTAATGGAAGATAAAAGTTTTGTTTGAGTAAGGTTTGTTATGTAGTTTATTTTCCTCTGCACCTCTGGGTTAATAAGAGTCTCCATTAAAAGTTTAACCCTGATTTTTTGTGAGTTGCGAGGGAGGCAGAGTGTTTTGTCGGGTATGGAGAGCACCTTAATGTTTCTTGGTTATCTTCAGCTTAAAGTAATCTTTATGCTAAAGTGGCATATTTGGGTACAGTGGCTTATGTCTATGATCCCAGCACCTTGGGAGGCTGAGGTGGGCAGATCACAAGGACAGGAGTTAGAGACCAACCTGACCCAACAATGGTGAAACCCTCTACTAAAAATACAAAAATTAGCCGGGTGTGGTGGTGCATGCCTGTAATCCCAGCTACTCCTGAGGCTGAGGCAGGAGAATCACTCGAACCCAGGAGGCCGAGGTTGCTGTGAGCCGAGATCATGCCATCGCACTCCAGCCTGGGCCACAGAGTAAGACTTGGTCTCAAAAAAAAAAGTGACATATTTGGGGGTGGCATATTCTGACTCCCTATGTCTTGTTTCATCAATTTGCTATAAGCATTTCAACTATACTAAACTATGATCCGGACAAACTGATTTTCTAGAACCATGTATTTCTGGAATTCTAAGAGACTTTAGGTTTTATATCGCGAAAATGAATTCTCAATCTTGAAGCACAAGAATCCTGCATTTTAGCCAAAGACTCAGGTAAATGGGGCATACAAACTGATATTTACGTAACTAGTCATAGTTATAATACTATGATAGGTTGTAGTTTGAGTTGTATTTGACCTAAAATAATAAATCAGCTGCATAGGGGAAGGCCCAAAACAAACAGACAATAAGAGTGATATGAGGTAAGCATAAAAATAAGAAAGTAAGAAATATGTATCTTTAAGGAGTATTCTATTTGGCCAGTGTTGAAACACGGAAAAGAAAACCCTTTCCGAATTTCTCAGCAGTAAGATTGTTTCAAATCTATCAGGAATAACAAATCCTCTTCTTGCATATAATTTCTTTAATAATTTGTCTTCTGAATTCTGCGTTGGCTACAGTGTTGATTTTAATTTTAGTACCACCTCCAGGTAACTGGTAATCTATTTACTACCTTGCCAGTTAATTGTTTGTTTTTGAATTTCCTTATATACCTTTTTCAGAAATCCATCCTGATTTAAAACTTTGCATCTATGTCCCTCTCTCTGTCTTTCTGCTACAATCCGTTTTTTCTTTTTTATTTGTTTTAAATTCTGGAGAGAAAGGTCTTTTCAGTGGCTTTATTCTAGTGAAGTGTATCAAATGACACAGTTTATTTAATATTCCCAGTGTTACAATTCAGTGGATCTCTGTGCTGTTTATCTACTGTCCGTTCAACATCACCCCTGCCAAGCAAAACTATTCAAAGAATAAAGAATATCACTATAATCTGTGACAAGTCATCACCAGGTATTCCTGGTCCAGTTACCTGGACAAATATCGAAAGACTGACTTGAGTTGGCACTAAATCAACGGAGACAATGTTGAACCATTCCCTGACTAGAAGAGCAGAAAATATAAATATGTGCCTAGTTGTCAAAGCAAAGTGTTAGATATTCACAGCATGAAATGCCTTGTCACTTGGTTGGGGAAAATAAAGTGTCTGAATTCTTAACTATTTCACTGTAAGTGACTGGTGATTCTTATATGTGTTCTGAAGGCTTCAAATTTACATGTAATGTTATTCAACTTGATTCTTAGAACCACTTAAGGAGTGGCTCATTGTTAAGCAACAAAATTTTTCAGAAAGTTTATTCATAACATGTTGAAAAGATTGATTGTTTAAATTCAAACTGCTCCTTTTAAAAGCCTAAATTTTGTTTCGAAAAATAATTTTGGTGTTATAAGTTCTCTTGGCCCTACAGAGGAAAATTT